GGAGTGCTGGATTACCAGCTATTTTTCACTGTCGCAACCGATGTTTGCGCATGAACGGTCAAATCTAAATTTGTTGTAATTGCTCCGGTAACGATGGCATGTATGACCGCCTAAGCAGAATGCGAAAACACGAATTGCCCACGGTACATGTATTTTTGCGCCAAATTCCGAGGCAGTTAGGTTTAGGATTCAAAGGCGAGTTTAGTGTAGGGTTACTGTGAGGATTATTTGAAGCGTTTAGGTTTGGATTCGTTTTAACTGCAAAGTGTAGGTTGGGGGTAGGGCTAGGGTTAAGGCTGCAGGTTAGTTTTATGTTAGAATTAGGGGTAGGATTAAAACGCGGTAACATTTCCCCTATTTTTGTGTCCTGTTTAGGCGTCCATAAAAGTCAGCCTTGCCGTTGTTTCCTTCCTCCCCACACCTATCGCATTCAGATAGTAAGACACAGAGTCAGGAGACTTGGAAGCGAGAGTTGTCGCAGTCGCTACCAGGGCTGAACAGCCTGTCTACGCTTACCACGCACTGACCGGTCGTTGACACTTCATTTTAAGTTAAGTTTATTGAGGGATGTAGGCATAAGCCTCTGAGAATCCCATTTGCACTGCAGAAGTGAGTGCAGTGTACAAATGATCCATGTAGGTTGCAAAAGTTCAAACTCGACTATAAAACATTACATTTGTTGTGAGAGTTTCATCAAGAGTAAATTTAACTCCTCTTGGTCCTGATTCATTTTCGAACACTGTAGCAGGTCTCATGTGTTCGGTGAATTGCGGTGTCACAAAAATCAACGCTAAGCAGGAACCTGGCAATAAAAGCGAACATGCGAGTCGCAGGAAGTAATTGAGAAGAAGAAGATTCGATCGCTAGAATAAAACTTTTATTCTCCTGACTTTCCGACTTCCTTCGCGCATTCTTCATCAGAGACGAGCAGAAAATAGCAGCAGAAGTAGCTACAAGGATAGTAAATTTCCGGTAAACGGGCGTGACCTCGTCTTGCACACTCGCTCAGTACTCACAGTTACGACTCGTAACCTGACAGCTGAAGGGCCACAAACTTCACACAAACGAACCTCGTGACGCACAGGCCGCCCAGCCCGCATATATGAAAGTTATACTGCGATAAGGAAGCGACCATTCTTCAAAAAAATCTGGTTTGGTTTTTAATTGATTGTGTGCCAGCTAAGATATAACTTATTTTATCGAAAACCATGAATTTAAGGGACGATTTTATGACAGGTCCATTATCTAAGATATGAAATAACAGGCAGGAAAGCGCAATAACTCGATAAAATATTAAAAACTATTAGTGGTACTGTTAGTAGTACTTTGTTGATTCTCGCTTTGTGAGTAAAACTAATCTAAGTCGGGCTGACCTGGAAACAACTAAGTTGAGTGTGGTAGACTGGTCAATGATATTTGGAGCACAAAAAGCAGCTTTCCCTGCAGTGCTTTTCAGACGTTTCATCATGCCATTTGATTAGTGCACAGACATTTTCTATAGGATTGAGATTGTTAGCACGAATAAAAATTCTCC